GGTGGTGGGATGTGTGAAAGTTTGCTCAGGGAGGTTCCTGTACCTGGCCCGACTGCTCCATGGTGACCCACACCAGCAGCCTTTCCTCTTGGCCTTTTGGTAAAATAAAGCTGTCTTGGGAAAGAGACTTACATATGCTGACATTGGCTTTCCTCTGTGGGAAGGGCCACAGCCACTTGAGTACCTACAGAGGAGCCCGTCATTGACTTGGCCTTTTAGTGCCTCCCTCTTGAATTGAAAAAGTCAGCCAGGCTCACCAGGAACTGGAGACGGGGTGGTGGTGGGGATTGAGAGACTGAATGCGCACAACAAGCAAACAGAAATTCAGAGGAAACACTCAACTCAGCAGAAGACATTTTGCAATAAACTATTCTATCTTCAGAAGGATAAGATACTATGAAGCAGGTAGAGTCCTGTTGAAAATGAATAACCAGATAATAAGAAATATTTCTTAATGTTTGAAGATTTAATAAATGCATTGGAAGTCAATTCCCCTGAAGCCAAAAAACCCCAACCCAACCCAACCCAAACCAAACCAACCAACCATCCAACCAACCAAACAACACCCCCAAAGAGCAATGGGAGAGAAAAGATGAGAAAAGTAGAGCATGCAGGTAGAAGGACTAGCCACCTGCCTATCTCTGGTTTCAGAAAGAGACAGCAAAGAAATAAAGAAGAGGAAGCTATTTTTAAAATAGTATTAGAATACATATCCCAGAACTGAAAGGGACAAGTCCTCAGACACAGAATATCTACCACAAGTTCAAAATAATGGACTAAATAAAAGATGCTTTTGTGGATAAAGGCTGGACATAAGAAGGCACCCTGTTTTACAATAGCAGTAATGAAACCTAGAAGAAAATCTAGGTACTGAGAAATGGAAATGCAACTGACAAACTCCAAACCATTGAGAGAATGCCGACACACCACTCTATTTCAGAAAGATGAAGAGGACAAAAGGTTTTTAAAATGTGTAGATTATAATAGTACAGTGTGCTTGAGTTAATAAACATATTTTGCCTTCTATACAGAGAAAACCCAAACTTTTGTTGGCATGAGATATTAAAACATTCATTGTGTACCAGGCAATGAAGAAAACTTCAAAAAATTCCTAAGGAGTTGGAGCTATGTAAGTCAGATGCTTTGCTGTCCCAGAGGCATTTGCTAACCTCAGGAATCAAGAACTCCCGGGGAGTGGGAGACAAGCCCTGGGGCCCACATGAAGAAGTGATTTGAAACTGAGATTTCTGGGCTGGGGAGATAGTTCAGTGGTATCAGCACCTGCCTGGCAAGCATAAGGTCCAGAGTTTGATCTTTGGTACTGAAAAAAAGAAAAAGGCCAGCCAGATAGCTCAGCAGAATAAAGTGCCTGCTTAGGCAGGTGCAGGGACTGGGTTCCATACCCTGCATGCTCTGCTGGCCCTGCCCCTGGGGGCACCCTGAGATGGTGACTGAGACTAGGCGTGGTGGGGTGCACCTATAATCCCAGCACCTGAGAGGCTGAAAACAGGAGAATCACTCCATCTGTTCTGTGTAGTGAGACCCTGTACTAAATACATTTTTAAAAAAAGAAGAAGAAAGAAAAAAAAGAAAGAAGCTGAGATTTCCTTCAAGGTCTCTTGATAGCTACCTTCTCAGTGAAATTCCAGGCTAGAAAAAAAGCAGCAGAAAGAGGAGCCCACAGGGCAGCTCTGTGCTTTGGCTTATGCCATGACAGAAGATGAAAGGTCTTTCCTGAAAATTCCCAACCCCAGGCCTGGCTGGATGTAGATCTGGGTCCATACTTACTCCATCTCTGTATTCTGAAAGTAAATATGGCGATGACCTCACCGAAGCTCTTAGAAAAAGCAAAAACCAAATTCTCTAGAAGGATGATTTTTTGTTTTTGTTTTTGTGGTACCAGGAATTGAACTCAGGACCTTGTCCTTGCCAGGCAGGTGCTTATTCTACTGAGCCATCTCCCCAACCCCAGAAGGATGATTTTTGCAGCAAGGTTTCCCACAACCAATGCAAAGATCCCAAAGTAGGCCTCACAATGGAGGAAAAACATGAGGAATCACTTTACTGTGGAGGTTAAAAATCCCAAAACACAGACGGATTGAACTCTTAGTAATTATAGAGAACATAACCACATAAATCAGACTATAAATACAAATGCTAAATATATACAGACATAAAAGGAAGAATAAACCACTAGAAAGTTGTTAAATAGTTATACTACTTTTATCAGTTCTACAACATACCTCCCCGTACAGTAATCTTTGTAAAATTAGGCATTATCTTGCAACTGATGTGATCAGAAAACATTACATTTGGGAAGCACTATTTTGTTCCTAATGCAAACTTAAGGTGTGTCTTAATTTCAGTCATAAACAGTGTTCAGACAAAGATGATATATAATCTTATCAAAACCAGAAATCATTTAAAGAAAATGATTGGTAAATTTTGCTACATGAACATATAAAGGTATTTTAGGCCCAAATTCAAAAGAAAGACAGGGAAAAACATTTCCAGAATATATGAGAAGGGGTTAATGTCCTCATATTTCTGAACAAGGCCACCCCAGTAGTGGGGTAGAATGGGAAAATAAATAGGAAATACATAAATGAAGAAATGAAAATCATTCAACTTCACTAACTGGTAATGGAAGAAATGCAAAAATAGCAGGTTTGTTTTTTCTTTCTTTCTTTCTTTCTTTCTTTCTTTCTTTCTTTCTTTCTTTCTTTCTTTCTTTCTTTCTTTCTTTCCTTTCTTTGCTTTCCTTTCCTTTCCTTTCCTTTCCTTTCCTTTCCTTTCCTTTCCTTTCCTTTTCTTTTCTTTTCTTTTCTTTCTTTTTTTTAACCAGGAACTGAACACAGGACCTTGCACTTGCCAGGCAGGCACTTGTACCACTAAGCTATATCCCTAGCAGACATACACATTAAATAATGAAAAAGTTTGACAATTGAATTTACAAAAAAAAAGCAATTTAATACATTAATTGTGCTGCAGAACTGGCACTGACATACTGCACTGAGAGCAGAACTTGGAAGGGTAATTTGGCAAACTATGTGAAAAGTCTTCATGCTCTGTGGGTGCCATCAGACTGATTAAAATCCCAGGAATTAAAAAAAAAAGTAAAAGCATGATTTTTAGTACATATCTAACCATTCTCAGTGTGCTTACAATTATTATTTTTTTACAATTATTTAAATAATTATAAGGCACATGCAACCATCATACGATAAACTTTTATGTTTTTTTATTTATTTATTTTTATTTATTACATTTATTTATTGTGTGTATGTGGCCAGCTCAGCCCACCCGGGAGTTGGGGCTGGCCGGCATGTGGTGCTGGGGGATCGAACCACGGTCACTGCACTTTGCCAAGCCTGCTTCAAGTAGGGGCTTTAGACCACTGAGCCATCTCTCCAGCCCACCACTGAGCCATCTCTCCAGCCCACCACTGAGCCATCTCTCCAGCCCTTTTAGTGTGTTTTTGAGACAAGGGTTCTGTGCGGTTCAGGCTGGCCTCAAGCTCACTTTATAGCCCAAGCTGCACTCCAACTTGAAGCAATCTTCCTGCCTCGGCTTTCTAGGTTCTGGGATGACAGGCATGTGCCACCACACCCAGCTTTATACAATAAATATTTAATGCACTATATTTGATGACACAAAACACATATGACATACACCATAGATACACCATACACCATAGGTCCCACCAGTATATGTGGATGAGACTTTAGTATATTTATCAGTAACAAACATCACTGCAAGCTTTCACCCACTGTCCTTTCCAGTTATGTAAAAAATATAGGAAAGAAGGCAGAGTTTTATACCTGAAAATGTTCATATTCATCCTGACCAAATATTGGAATTACCAGTGAATTCACTTCGTATTTCTTCAAATAAATGATGGAACTCTTGTTAAAAAGTTGATGGAGGTAAATGATGTAAAAGTTAAATGATGGAATATTTGAATAGAGGTTTAAATAGTATCTTTAAAAAGGGCCAAAGGAATAGAAGGACTAGAAGGTGACCATTGACGTTGGCCACATGGAGGTGACTCTGCCACAGTGGGGGACACTGTAAGCAGGTGGTGGGCAGGAGAGCCGTGGGTGTGGGACTGGAAAGTTCTGGAAGCATCTTTGTGATGCTTGACTGAGAGGGGAAGGGAGAAGATGCACGGGTTAGGGAGGGATGTAAAAGGGTCATGGTAGAGTCGCTTTATGTTTTTGATACTTCCTGATCAAGACATGAAGGTTGTTTTTTTTTTTTTTTTTCTAGGATGAAAAAGACCTAAGGATGCTGCCACGTTAAGAGCGAGGAGCAGTACAGACAGTGAGGTCAAAGCCAGAGGAAAGAGGATTGCAAGCAGGCAAGAAGAGCCTGAGAGACTGTGAGACGGGGCTGGAGGACAGCAGCGGTCGGGGTGAGCTGAGGTGTCGTGAGCTGGCCGGGGTTGGTGAAGGTGGATGCGGGATTTATTCCAGAAGCTCCTGCCACCGGGCACGCGGCCTGCCCAGGCAACTTGATCTGGAGCCTGTGCCTCAAGTCAGAGATGTCAGTTCAGAAAGAATCAGAGGCCTCTAAAGGCATGCTGGGTAGAGTGAAGCCCAGAGACCTGTCAGAGAGGGCACAAATGGGCAGAGCCGAGGGCGAGAGGCAGCCACCGGAACACTGACGCTGAGCCAGCTGATCTGCAGCTGTGTAAGTCTGGCGACTGTACGTGGTGCCGGGGTGACAGGCCCGCACTTTGTGGGTGTCTGGGGATGTCTCAGCTCCTTAGCAGCAGATGGCGGCCTTGCCTCCTTATGTGCCTTACTTGGACTAAGGGGTACTCCATATTTTAAGCACACTGATGGGAAAGCAAGTTCCTTCTGGTGGGGAGGCCCCACTTCAGTAGAAAGCCCAGAGGTAGGTGGTCCTTCTTTGAATATCCTCCCCTGGGGCTCCCAGCTACCTCCCAAGTCCCTGGGTGACTGTCCTCCCCCTTCCTTGCTCCACCCAGGACTTACAGAGAAGGACCTTCCTGCCAGGTTGGAGGACTTGACAACCTCTGTCACGCTGACATTCAGACACTTGTGAGCCACAACAGGAGCAGCAGCGGGGGGACAGTCAGCGGACCCTGCAGCCGAATGAGATAGGGGTGCTGTGAATGGGGCTCTGGAGAAGTAGGGGAGTCTTAGATGATGACCATGAGCCTATCTTTCTGGGTAGTCCTTCAATTTAGCACCCTGCCCTCACTTAGCCCCGCTTCCTGATGTTGCCTCTGTCCAGCCACGGTTCAGGTCCTCCCTTGTCAACTGTGTCCTTTCCCTAGAGGGTCAACAAAGTTTCAGTGTTCTCAGACCCAGTAACCATCACCGTCCCAATCCCTATGCCATGGCCTTTTTTCATCCACTACAGCCAGCCCCCCTAAAAGAAGAAAGTTCAGTTGAATTTCTCTGCTACCACTGGGCGTACTAAGAATGTAAGGCCCACCTAGCCCAGACGTCATATAGGTAGACGTGCTAGTGATTAGGAGGGCATTGGTACTAAGGTGGAGAGTGTTTTGCCTTTCTGATAGGGCATCATGTGTCATAAGTCATGCTTGTGTGACAGCTGCCAGACTGAATCCCTCCCTCCCTGGCCTCCCTGCCAACTAGAGAGGGTTGGTAGGTGTTTGTGCTTCTAAGGAGGGTTCCAGAACCCCCAGATCAGTCCTGATGGGGTTTGGCAAGGAAATAGAAGACAGTTTTAATCATAAGAGCTAACATTTATCACTAATTTATATACATGTAGGCTTTACTACATGTATATAAATTATCTCTATTTTAGAAATTAAAAATAAATAGAAAGGTCACAGGTAACTTGGCCAAGGTCACGCAGAAGGCAGGTGACATAGCTGAGGCTCAAACTTGGCCCCTCTGGCCCTGAAACCTGGCCTCTTGACCCCACTCCTTTGTGACCATCTGTAGGTCATGAGCCGTTGACAAAATTACTTGTCTCCTTCAGGGTGTTAAAGAACTACAAGTAAGAATGTCTTGCTGAGAGAGCTTCAAACGTCATCCAAAAAATTGAACTCATCTGCAAGTAATTTTATAAGGAAGTGATTTTATTTGTGTTTCTTCTTTGTGCCAGATGTCCAGATAATTGAGGCGCCTAGACGCCCTTGGAGGGGCTGAGCTAGCCTGAGGTAAGCCCAGACAACTTAGAGAGACCCTGTCTCATAGGAGACAAAAACAGAAAACAAAAACCCCAAAGAACACAAACGCGTTACCAACAGACATGTGTCCTGTGGGATGCTAGCCAAGCCACGGAGAATTTTAGAGACAGAACCACCGTGTCTTCTGGAAGAGTCTACATTCATTCACCCATTTTTAAAAACAATTCTCTAGTGTACAGTTGATATTCAACAAATGTTTACTGAATATCTACTATGGGCTAAGCGCGAGGGACAGAGTGGTGACTAATATATTAAACTGCCAGCTCCTGTGGGGTGACCACCGGAGTCCAGTCTGTCGAGAGCTGGCCATGCTGGGTTCACAGTAGAGGGCAGTGCTGAAGAACATGGCATGCGAGTGCCTACCTCCAACTCTCCCTCACAGACGTGACTGTGGGGAAGTTATTTTTCTTTGCCTTAGTTTCCTCTCCTATAAAGTATCACTACTAATCATAGCTATACCGTGGAGTTCACACGCTCCAAGGAGCTCAGTTTTAACAGAGCACTACCCAGTCCCTACCAAATGCAAGCAAGGGTTAGTAATGCGCAATGCCATCCTTCTCCTTTGTTTTGTCATGAGTCAGGGTCTCACTATGTGGTTCAGGCCTTGAGCTCACTGTGTAGCCCAGGCTGACCTGTAATCCTCCTGCCTCAGCCTCCCAAGTGCTGAGATTACAGGCATGTACCGCTAGGCACTGCCAATCCTTGTCTTTCATCCACGGGACCAGTAATCTCACAGTGACAGCTAATACTTATAAATTACTTCCTGCATATAGATTCACAAAAGACATTCAAATCCAGAATTTCTAAACAGCATGCACCCAGCCCGCAGGCCCAATGCTGAGCAGGACTGCTCCGCACTACATCCCTCTACCTCCCTGCTGCAGGGGCTGAGTCCTGGGTCTTGAGACAGGGTGGGTTGCTTCACCACCACCTGAGGCTAAGGCCCATGTATCAGCCAGGCCAGCACGGGGCTGGGTCATGCAAGCTTGAGTTCTGTGAAGGCTGAGATGAGGTGGGCCTCCCTGCTGTGGCTCCGGCATCTCCTAGCTCTCAGCCCTCTCCTCCCCTCTCCAATGTTCCCCTTCTCATCCCTTCTCTTGCTCTCTGCTCCAATTCCCAGATTCTCACCTTCAGCGTCACTGTCCGGAATGGCCTTCAGGACCAGCCCAGTGGCCCTCAGGGAAACAGTGACCTCTCGGGGCCGGTGGCTAAGCAGAGCCTAGGGAGGGGAGTGGAGGATCACAGTGAGCAGCTGAGGTCCTCAGGATGCGGTCTCCCCGCCCATCTCACACCCACAGTCTCACTTTCTGCCCCAGCCTGAGACTCTTGCCTGTGTCCCTGCCCCCATGAGGCACCTGCAAAGAAGGCTTAAGAATATCCTAGCCCCAGAGATCATGGCTACATCTGGTCCCAAAGGAACAAGTCTCCAATGAGATCAGTTCAGGCACCTGGCCAGTTAGTGGGGAAGATATTTTTCAGCGAGTGGCCAGCCAGCCCTCTGTCCCTTGAATCATGTCACTTTGCCTGTGCTAGGGTCCACCTTGACTCCCCAGCCCCAGCCCTACAAAACCTTCCAAAGGCTGGGATCTCAGTGGCAGCTTCAAGAAAGGGGAGGGAGCTTTGTGGGGCTGCATTGGCCCCATCCCCCACCCTGCATGTCCCCAAGGCCAGCTCCTATCGGCTGCACCTTTGGCCGCCTTCTGACCTTGTCCACGCACACTGACCTTCTGGTAGCAGATGGAGAGCTCAGCACCTGGGCTGTCAGGGGTGCCTCTTCTTCTTGGTGTAGCTCCCTCTGGAGGAGGAGGAGGAGAGGCTTCAGGTGCGGGTCCCTAGCCCTCTGCCTGACTTCCCCTCTCTCAGGCTGGCATGGAGCCCATGGCCTGTCCTGGCAGCTCAGCCTGGATAGAGAGGTGGCACCCCATGCAGACCACATGCCTTTCAGTCTGGAGGAGCCAGGAAGGAGCTGAAGCTGGCAAGGTGCAGGACAGCGCAGGTGTGGATAAGGGGGTCATCCCCCGGTGCGAGATTGGGTGAGGAATTCAAGGGAGGTCTGGCCAGGTGAGCTTTGGGAAAGGGACAGCAGATGCTCACCTGTGGGAGATTTGGAGTCTTGGATCTTCACTTTTAGCTCAGTAAGGAAAATGTCCTCGGTTACACCCTGGCTCGGGTCACTGAAGATCTGGAGAGAACAGAGACGGAAGAAAGGGAGGAGGTTTGGCAAAGGCTCACTCTCTGGGCCAGGGGCAGCTGCTGATGTGGCTCTCCATAACCCCAGGGCACCGAGGAGCAGCAGGAAGGTGTCCCCACCCTCTGCTAACCCTGACCTCCAGCTGCATGACTGAATCGACCACCACCATCAGAATCTTCTCAGTGGTAGCGAGAGTCTACAGCCCTGTGCCATCTGACCATGGCTCAGGCCACAGCAGAATAGGTATGACAGTTGTCCTCTGAGATAATCATGGGGCTGAAAAATTCCTCTTATCTAGTGATGTCATAGCCACTGAAAGGCTGTAAGAAGCTCATTACTCACATGGTGATACTGGTGGACACAAGCCACTGTGGAGGGCTACTTGCACAGCTGTATAGTACAGGCAGATGAATATATAATATGTGACAATGCCGGAGAGTGTTGCATGTTCATGTATTTACTGTGCTATCTTTTTGTTATTTTAGAGGACTCTACACATTTTTTTTTAAACCCTGTTTACTGGAAAAAACCTGTGTGCTCTGTAAAACCAGCGGCAGCCTCTTACATGTCATATTTACTAAGTCTTGGTTGCATCAAAAGGTGACATTGGGCCGGCCTGATAGCTCAGTGGATTAAAGCGCCTGCTTTGATAGATGCAGGGGCCAGGGTTCAGGCATGCTGCAACAGCGATTGAGACTAGGCATGGTGGTGCATGCCTGTAATCCCAGTGCTTGGGAGGCTGAAAAACAGGAAGGATAGCAAGTTCAATCTGTGTAGTGAGACTCTGTAGACTCTGTACTAAATATGTTAAATAAATAAATAAAGCAAAAAGGCGACATCAAGTGGCTGACTCTATCTAGACTTATGTAAGTACACATACTCCACGATGTTTTCACAGTGACAAAACCAGCTAATGGGGACATGCTCAGAAGTGTCCCAGTGGTTAAGCAGCACACGACCCTAAACAGCAGGAGAGACTACTACTGAAACCCATACTACCTAAGGCTCACTACAGGCAGGAGGAGGGCAGGAGCAGGAGATGGAGTTCCCATGAAGAGGGGTGGTGACTTCGCTGCAGATACCTGCAGAACGAGGAGCGCCCAAGAAAACAACGTGGTTCTTCTGTGCATAGCGAAGCCCAGGGGTGAAGGAGGGCAGGGCTGCCCCAGCTGACCTGAGGGTGAGGAGGCTTCAGGGTGGGGGTGGGGGGTGGGGGATGGGCAGAGAAGAGGGGAGCCTGGGCTTGGCTGGGGGAAGACAAGGGGGGTCCGGATGCCAGGGAGTGTTTGAGAACAGGAATGTGGAGAGAGACACGAAGGCGCTGGAGCCTGAGAACTCGCCTGGTGTGCAAGGAGGCCACCGTGTGTCCTGTGCGTCACAAACAGCGTCACAGATGCTGATGTGATTGCCGTGCGACCGTGACAGACAGAAACCAGACAAGTACACAATCACACCCAAAAGCAGACACCAAAAGGACCATGAACAGCTGTCGCCCTGCCCTGCCACCCCAGCCACGAGTGACTGCTGACTCCTTAGCCTCTTCAGGAGAATTGTTGAGACACCCAGTTGTGCTGTTACTTGCTTTTCCTGCCAACCGACAACCCAGCGTAATCCAGTGTAACCCAGCTCCGCAGCAGGAGTCCTCCAGGCACTCCTACACACACCCTCGAGGCTCCACGTGGCTCCCCCTGGTGGGCATCCTCCTTCACTGCAACAGGCCTGCAAGCCCAGCAGTTTGCACTTGTGAGAGCTCCTGGGGGCTAGGGGTTTAAGGTTATTAACGGTACCAACTCTCTAATCTCAAGTGATTTGTGTTGGGGTGATGCTTATTCCCTTTGCCATTGGAAGAGTCTTTTTGTTTTATATATTTTTAATTTGCATTTTGTATATGTGCTGCAGAAAGGAGCACTTACTTTGCATTTTGGAACTCGAAGAAAGGACAGCATTGAGGAAATAATCAGGAAGGTGATAAAGAAGAGATCTAGCCCAGGATGCAGAGTGAACAACAAGAATTCAGTAAGACAAGGAACCAGCACAGAGGAAAGGGGCTGGCGGGGCCCAGAAATATTCCTGAAGTCGACAGAGAAGGCCTGGCACAAGGACAAAGAGGACCAGGACAGAGTGGCATGAATGTCCAGGGGGCCAGCCTCAGCCAGGGAGATGGATGTGTTTTCACTTTGGTCACTGTGATACAAACAAAGCTTATTATAAATTTCATTGTGGACAAAGGAAAAAGGTGTAGTGGGAGAGGCCCAACAAGATGGGACGAGAGACATTCCTGGGGCTGGTGACTTGGAGGTCATTGATGACGGGTTTAGGAGAGCCAGCCTGCTGTGGTTAGAGGGTGACATAAGAAATTGGGGACAGTGAGCCAGGTGAACAATTGGTGAGCTAAGTTAACATTTTAGGCAGGTGAAGGTCAGGGAAATAGCTCAGCAGCATAAGCACCTGCCTGGCATGTGCATGGTCCTGAGTTCAATCCCTGGTACCGAAAAAAAAAAAAAAAGCAGGTAGTTAGACATTGGTGAACCTGAGGGACAAGGTGGTATGTGTCCAAAATAGTATGCATTGCCAGTTAACTAAAGAAACAAGCATGTCGAGGTCTAATACATCTGTAATCACTGGTTAGGTCTCAGACTCAAAGTGATCTCACTGAAGCCAGTGACATTTTAAGTCTCAACCTTGGGCACAGTCCTCCTGACACCTGGCCCGCTGGCTATCTGTCCAGAACAAGGCATACTGCATTCCTGGCTGCCACGGCCCGTAGCCCACTGACACCAGGAAAGGAAATGTTATTTAAAGTTGTTCCTGCCTTGGGCTGGGTCCTGGCTTAAATTAAGAATTTATCTTTCATAAATTTCTTAAGTTTCTTGCATGTTTAAAGCCCCCTGAGGAAATGCTGACTACCTAATAAGGACAGAAAGACATGCAATTCCAAAGTAACTCCTAAGTACAATGTTGATAGGAACCTAATTACCCTGGTTCCTTCAACCCAAGTATCTTTTGTGTGCATAATGCTTCTATGTAGATACTTGAAGGGGTAATTCTCTCCATGTCTATTTTTTTGGTGGAACCGGAGATTGAACTCAGGCCCTTGTGCTTGCCAGGCAAACCACGTCTATTTTTTTTTTTTTCTTTCTTTAATTCTACATACACTTCTGCACAGCCTGTGTGTCTTGACTGAATGATTTCATCAAGGGCACTGAGAACAAAGGACCAAAGGAGAGAAGGGCTATGGTAGGATCTGGCTTCTCTGTGACAACACACCACACCTCCAGCTCAGGGGCAGCGTCTGATCCATTTCTGGCCAGTGACTGGAGTGGGGACAGACACCTGTCTCAGTCTTTTCCTCAAAATTGGAAAAGACAGACCCTCTTTACACTGAGCTGCTAAGCTAGGTAGAGGCAGATGTGGAACTAGTAATGGTCATTTTGGAGGGAGAGAGAGAGAGAGAGAGAGAGAGAGAGAGAGAGAGAGAGAGAGAGAGAGATTGGGAGAGATTGGGAGAGATAAGAAGAGAGAGAAACTAAGTT